GTGCAGAATCACTCCAGCATCCCCTTAACTTCATCGTTAAAAATGTAGTTTTTTTATTTATCACCTTCATCTGCTCGAAATTATTATTAGCCTTGTTTATTCGCATTTGTTATTTAAAACGAACGTCTATTATTATTCCTAATTTTATTATCCCTTTATTTATTATTTAATTAACGAAATTTTATAGTTTATCACTCCTACTGAGGGTTAATATATTTAATTAAAATAAGTAAAATTAAAAATCGCGTTATCTATGCGAAATTATACGACCAAATATTTACTCACCGATCGTCTCGACGGAATTGATCACTGATTAAATTGCATCAAATGTGAAGGAACGAAAAACGTATAGCTGTGTACATTCATGTGTGTGCAATTAATGATAATTTCGAAATGCGTATAAATTTTCAATTGCACGCAGAATGCACGACACATATATGCACATATACGATGTATCATGAAAAGTTGTATTGTATGTATTTATTCAGTATTCAATGTCTCGTGGACGTCTGCAATAAAACAGGAAGGACGTTGCTACTTGGAACCTGTCCTGAAAGAATAAGAGAGAATCTACAAGTCCAGAGAACATCTAGGAAAATAGTACTCAATTAATTTTATTAATTTATAATAGAAAAACTTTCTATTTTAATTAGATATAAATAATTATAATAATGTAAACGAAGCAATTATTATGACTTCAAATTTATTGATTACTCAGACAAGCCGTTTTCTGTGAAACTAGAAGATTATTATTTATTATTATAAAAACTCATATTAATAAAAAACTTGTATAAGATTTTTTATTAAAAATATGGACAATTTTTCGGCACAATTTATCATTATCTCAGAAATTTGGTTGTAATCGATAGAGTTAATTTCGTTACACGTATAATGATGTAACTATAAGTATGCAGAAAGCTTTTTACCAATTATTTATGTTTTCCAAAAATTTTCTTAATCATGAGTGACAATTGACTTATATTTATATTTACATATATTTTATTTAAATTTTTTGTTGTACCGGCTTAAAAAATTTTCTAATATTTACCCAAAAAATCACATTTTCCAATTAATATTATATATCATTGCTACAAAATTTTGTTTTTAAATTAATAAAAGTACTTAAAACGTAATAATACTTTGTATTAAATATGTATATTATTACGACTATAATACACCGATGGTCTCTGGACTTAATAACGATTTCGCAAGTATTATACTTTTCATATATGTGTATATATGACATGTATATGTATACATATACATACATGTACATATACATACACAATACACAGAAAGAATAATACAGAGTTTTTCCTAACATACATATGAAAAGACGCGCAAATTGCTATACATTTTCTATAATATTGAATAACAAACCTGAGGAAACTTTTTGAAATTCGTGCGTGCAAAGTTTAGAGTAGAAAACAAAGAAGACTAGCTTAGACGTTCTATTTTAAGTACTTTCTACGAAATAAAAAAATTGCAAGTTCTCGTAAGGTAAACAATCCGTATTCTTAGGAAAATTTCGTGTATTTATTACTACAAGTTGTAGGCAGATTCTTATTAATATTTTACACATGTGATTCCTCGTTTATTGCTTCATTTTTCCTGCAAAAGAATTTGCTAGGCTGATTTTCAAATCTAGAAGGCTGTGTGTAACTCATATGTGTCATTAGAGTTGCGAGATAAAGTATAATAATAATACATATGCTATAATAAAAAAACAGCGTTGTGAAATTAGAAACTATAAATAAATATTGATGATTTTTTAAATTCGTAAGTTATCGATGGCCTCTTTTAAATTCACAAACATGATACTGGAAATATTTTGCTAAAGAGAATCGTAAAAATCAGCCTCGCATTCTTTTACTGTCTCTTACAACTTATGCACTCGTTACATATGTAATAATAATTAGCGATTTATAAATGTACATTTCCCTACATAATTTATTAAATGCGTTTTCTACTACCTAATATATCGTGATCTTTGCGTAGATATGCTTTTGTCCTTTTTCTACGATGATTTACACGATGATTTTAATATTATAATATGCTTCTAATATGCTAGTCAAACCGATACAAGTCGGGAAGGTTTATTAAAAATTATACTTAAGTAATTAACTTTTAATTCGCTAAAGAAATCTGTACCAGTAATTAATTACCGTTATTACATACTTGTCATCAATGATTATTATTATCATTGTAATATGTAAGTCTATGCTCAATAAACACTTTTCTATTATTCGAATGGATTTATTTACATATTTTAAGAACCACCAATTGTTATTTTTATTTTCAGTAAATATACAAATTGGTATAATATTTTTAAGTAATTATTGGGTTCCATTCTTCTTATCTTCAAAGAAAGCATTTTTCATTAAGTGACAAAGAGGGAATTAATGAAAAATCTAACTGCATTTTTAGATACTACGGTTATTATAATTTTCTAACGTTATTATATTAATATGTTGCAAAAGAAGACCATATATTCACCTCTTATGGTAAAAAGTTGGGACAGCTGACTTACGACTCACCCTGTATACAATACTTGGTACCGCGAGGCTACCGTTTCACTTGATTAACCAACGATCGAAAAGATTAGTGATTATAATTTTAGCCTATAAATAATAACTGACAGCAGTTAATATGTAGCAAACTTTGCAATTAGGTTGTAAGATAGTAGCAATTTTTAGTTGAAATAACAGTTATGGAATTATTTATCATTAATTAGAGGCTAAAATGGTATATTGCTTCTATGTTCATGACATTCTCCAGGTCGATATTAATTCTTTATGACATTACACATTACATCTAATTTGAAGCTTCAACTTCAAGGTTCTGACATGTCATAGAAAAACTATGTAACGTTTACTCACTTTGCTTAAAATATATCAAATAGAGCTAGTTTTAGTAATTATTTTTAAAGCAGTTTAAACCAATAAACACAGTACTCGCGGAAGATAAAGGATGGGTTTGAATTGCGTGCGACCTGTCGATCCTTTATGTGCCGTGATACCAAGAAATATTGGACTCGATGCTTCATCAGTTAGAGACTCAGAGTTGCCAATTATCTTTTTGATTGGAGGTCCAGGAGCAGGAAAGAGTTCGTTGAATTTGTATTTGTGACTTCATATATGAACAGAGCACTTTTAAACAATTAAATCATAAAGTTATTAAAGAGTAAATAAAGTTCAATGGCTTATTCAAATAAGCTTCTTTAATTTGCAAATTCTTTTGGCTATTGAAAATGTTTCCAAGTAATCCACTAAATTTGAAATCTAAAACAATAATAATTATGTAATATATCCATGCGTTATGTATATTAGATGAAATAAATATATAAAATAAAAATATGCAACATTAGTGCCGCGATTAAAATTGAAAATAATAACTTGAAAATAATTTTTGTTTCCTTTAGACTTAAGAATGATTTTGATTCTCTTTCCTGCAGCGACGCAGTGTGCGCGGATAGCAGAGCACTACAGTTTCTGCGGCATCGTAAGCAGAGAATTATTGCGCGACGAAGTAACCACTGGCTCACAGAGAGGCGCTATCTTGGCATATTTGATGTCAGAGGGTAAACTAGTTCCCTCGGATGTTATGATGGAGCTCGTTAAAGCGCGGATGCTGAGCAGCTTAGACATGACCCGAGGTTTCTTGTTGAGCGGGTTTCCTAGGGAAAAGATACAGTGTCAGCATTTCAATAGACAAATTCGACCGCCAGATCTCGTCTTGTACTTATACGTCAGAAACTCACTGTTGATGGACAGAGTCCTGGCCAGGACCATCACCGCCACCGAGAGGCAGGAACACAGTACCGATGAAAAATGGAGACGAATCAAGGACCACAGTCGAATGATCAAGCCTATCCTAAAGTATTACAAGAAACAACTGGTCGTAATCGACGGTGAGAGAGATGAGCTGGAAGTCTTTCAAGACATTTGCTGCGCAATTGATAACGTATTGATGACCTTTCCAAGTACATCTAGTAAAAACGGTTAATTATAATTTGATCGTTTACGTACACTGTTTGTTAACTGCACTGGCCCAGCAATACATCAATTACAAAGTTTTAAGTTACTGATGGAGTTTTATATCGCATTACGAAAATAAACTATGCTTTGTTAAGTACTACATTAAACTATGTTATATAATAAAACAATTATTATACATAAAAAATTATAATTAATATTGTTACAAATCTTATAACAAGACTAATAAGATATGAAAGAGGAAAACAATTTTTTTACCTTATTATACGTATACTTCACACTTTCGTATCATAGAATTGCGACTTCTTTCAAAAAGAGTTTTCGAAAAAGAGTTTTCGAAAAATATTAAAAATATTAAAATTTTTTACGAGTGCTATCTGCTATATCGATCTCTCTTTTTAACACTCTGTAATATATTACATATTATTTATATACATATACATACATTTTGTATGTATCAAACAATGATAACTTACCGCTAGTTAATAAAGGCGAATGTAATCTTTCCAGTGTTACATATACGGCTTTCATTATTCATCCATGCGTTGATAAATCAAAACGTGTAAATTTAGTTTATTTTTTGGTTAAAGACAATTAGATTTCTAAATATGAAATGTTTTAAGACCAAACTCATGTCAATTTAATTATAAAAATATAAAGATATAAATAGTATGTGAAAATAGAAGGAGGAGAGGGATAGAAAATCTTTTTTACTTAAACTTTAGAGTTTGAACAATTCTTCTTTTTCATCTTCTCAACAAATAAAATTTACTTTAACCAAAATAAAAATTGTTTATAATTTCAAAAATATTGATTTTTCGGCCTATGTTTAATGGAATTTTTTGCCCCATCTTATGAAGACAAAAAATTAAAAACATTAAATCGAAAATATAGAATAAAGCTTTTTAAAGGGAGGCTTTGTTTTCTTGAAAAACAATTTTGATTTTTTAGGTATGATTGGTCACGATAAATCTTTTATGTATTATGTATCGCGATAATATTGTCGAGTGTCGAGCAATTGAAAGAAAACGTCTAGTCTAGTCTTTGAAAACTTGAAAACAACTTGTAATGGCGGAAAATATTCGTACAATTTTAATGCAGAGGACACAATTATACATACATAGGTATATGACAAAACGGAAAATGTTTCTAACAAGTTTTAATAAAATAACGTTCTTGAAAGAGAGAGACAAACACATCTTGTCTTATAATGTATCCCGAAAATATCTTTTCAATATTTGTAAGATTTATAATTGTAGATGCGTGTAAAGTGCACGGACATCGAACGAATATTCAAAGCTGTCTTTCTGCAAAATAAAACCTGTGAAAGGAATTTTGTTTTATATTTTCGACTTATTTTTTCATGTAGAATCCCTCTCTTTCCGCTTTTACACCAGGATACCAGGTATATGTACACAAATACATAAAAGAATATGCGTGCATATTTATACAAATTTTGTTTATATATTGCATTACTTTTATAAGTAGAATGTTCATTTTTATTTTAGTGACACAATTACATCTCTTTAAAAATAATATCCATTACATAGAATTTATATCATAAGGGAAACTTTTAAAAATAAAGCCTCTCTTCTTTTCATTACTACAGCTTTTCTTAGTGTGTTTTTATACGTCAAACCCCACTGTTAAATATCATTATTATATCGAAGGTCATAATTTTTTTTATCAAGCAGAACTTGACGCAACACACAGTCTTGTATTACGTAGGTCGCTGTCGTATTTATGATAAAAAATTTTTTCTGAGAACTCACATAAGGTAACACACATAAATCTTTGTCACACATGCATGAAAATAACGATCGTCTAAGGAACATTGCACAAAAGACGCGCTAAGAAAGCAGAGGCGTGTAAATTTGCAAGCTGATGCTTGAGATGTGCGCACCGATCGGAACATCCCCTTTGAGGTACTCATCGAGGGAGGAAAAGCAACTTCCTCTCTGCTGCTCGTTCTACTTTCTAGCGTAGCATTAAACGAGGCGAACGAGAGTTTGATGGATGTCTCGCAAATACTCGGTTTCTAAGGAATAGATCGTAATCGTATCTTCAAAAACTTTAATCCCTTAGTAAGGATTATGTTAAATCTGCGATTATGTGTACATAATCTCTATTTTCAAGATGTCACGAGTATCTGTAGGAATTTTAAGTCAGTTATGATGAAGTTTGCGTAATGTAAGTACTGCGATAAAAATCATCTTATTTTAACAGATTGGAAATTTAAAAAAATTCCAACTGTATATTATATTACTTGCACGACTATCGTAGCGAGAAAAAAAATTACAGTGACGAGATAATCTACCAAGTAGAAATATAATATACACACATAATAAATAAACGTATATGCTCCTTGCACAGAAAGAAAAGTGTCGGATCAACTCTTATATGTATACTCAAATTGACGTGTATTGTTTTATATGTTGTTTATATATACGTAACAATCTATAATCTGCTTAGAAGCATTTAATAATCGTACATTCCAACAATATTACAGTCTTACTTAAATACTATAATTGTCACTTCAAGAATACATATAATTATTTTGTCAATAAAATTATTTCAATTATTATAATCTTCGATTTGAAAATATTTTATTTTCTATCCAATATTGTTTTCTCTCCATTCAAGAAAATTATTCTTAAATAACAAGCATATATTTTTCTTCATTAAATTATATAAAATTGCTTTATTCAAGCAAGTTTTTCTTCCTTTAACGTAATACGTATATTCTTATTTCAAGATTTTCACGTTCAAACTAAACATATTTTCAAAAGAAGAATACTCTTTTTTTCTGCGTGACAATATTAATTCCATAATAATCTTTATCTAGAGATTTAATATTTCACGATGCATCGGAAAATGAAATTACGCGAATTGAAAATTAGAATCGCGAATCTAGGATCAAATTGAATTATAATTCGCATCTCGTTGGTTTACAATGTCCACATTGCATTACTTATGTGATGTTGTCGTAAAGTTAAGTATAATTTTATCGTAAATACGTAACTTTATATAATATAAACGTTCCTCTCTTATAATATTCGGATTGATTGATCACCGTCAATAAACCATTTCTATCTCCACAGACATATGTATTGTGTGTGTGTGTTTGAGAGACAAACCATCCTACCGTGCCATACGCACATTCTCATGTATTGCCGTAAGCTCGCGCGCACACTCTTCAGCTTCTCAACCCGCGATACTCTACGCGGCTTTGTACCCTGTGCCCCCCCTCCTCGTCTCTGCTGATTGCAATTGTCTGCGTGTATAGATGTACACGCGGACACGTCGACGCCAAGTACCTCGACTACTCCGCGTTTGCGATCCCTTCTACCCCGATCTGCCCCGATCCACCCCTACGGCGCGGGTGGATGGGTGGTTGGCTGCGTTTATGAGGCCGCGGGCCCGAAATTGAAAGGCATCCAGCTTCGCGGAGGGGACTGCGAGGGGAGGGCATACAGCAGTCACCGACAAGCGAAAGAGCGTATCAGAGGGTAATCCTATTGGTGGACGCCGACGTCGCGACGTCCCGGCGTCATTGGTCCATCCGCGATCCGCAGGGCGTGGCGACGTCGGTCTGGTGGGGTTGTCGCATCCCTGGCAACGATTACCAGAAGGCAAGCAGGGGTTCGCGCGACGGCAGGAATCCAGCATGGCGGCAACCTGGCAACCCCTAGACACCGTCGAACTCTCGCCCACCACAACCACCGCCGCCGCCACCACCACAACGACGCCCGGGGTTGCGCTGCGTCGCGCGGCGTCGGCCGCGTTACCGATTGCCCGCACCCACTCTCGTGGATCTCGCTCGATTTGTCCGGGAGAACATTTCAGGAGTCGAAAGTTCGATCGCTGGATTAATTGCTCCGTTAGCAACTCCTTTTGAACGTTGATTCTCTGGCGAGAATGGCAGACTCCGTCGGTTCGAGTCTCTTTTTCCTCGACCGCCCCGCGCTGACGTGTTCATTTAGAAAATATAAACTCAAACATAAATCTGATAAATAACACAATGTTGAAAAGTATAATTCATTTTCGACGCGAGTGTAGCGTGTAAATTGTGCAAAAGCTTTTTCAACAGTTTATTTAATCAGAGATACAGAACAGAAAACTATTCAACCCTTATCATCGGATCCCGCTTGATTAAAGTCTCGCTTGTAAATCACGCGACGTTGCTCGGCGGGGTTCAATTAATCTACGGCGGATGAAAAGAGTACCGGGGCTGCTCAGCGCACCGTCGCTTTTTTTATCCAGACGATTCGATGCCGAGGCGACTCGGCAAAGAGAACTTCGACCGTCGCGTAGCCAACGATCAACAATTGCCCCGACGCGACACTCAGGTAGGCGTCGTTTCCCATGACGGCGTTTTGCTGTCGGTAGGGGGATAGTTTGGTCCGGATCGCCGGGGGTGGGAGATACCAGGCGTCATCGGAGAGGTTCGAAGGGGTCGGCGCAGGCGCCTCGTCCCGACGACGGGCGTCGCGGCGAGGCACCGCGTCAAACGTGGAGGCTATAGGTTAAATCCTCCCGCTCCTCGTTTTTGTCGTTTTTCCGGCGTTGCCTCCTGATCCCGCCTTCAAAAGTGCCGGCGGACCAATCGGCGCCGGGCGTTACTTGTCCGCTGCCTCCGACGGCACGGCAAGCGCCACGACGACGACGGCT